GCTTTCCTGCGTAAAGTTTTGCAGAAGCGTCGAGGCGTGACTGGTTCAAATCACGGCTGGAACCAGGTGGTTCGGCTTAAGAGCAAGAGCAGGCGACAACCTGCCCGCTAGCCTCCCCGTGCACCTGCTCGCCTCGGTAACACCCCGTCATCTCGTTTGCTCGACATACGGATAAAGTTTTTTTTCTGCTCATTACTATTCTTCGTTCCGTGAAATAAATACAAATGCTGGTCAACGTTCGGCCACTGTCCAGCCATCTGCTTGCTGGCCATGTTCCTGCGCTCGTGCAGGGTAAGTGGCCAAAGAGCAGCGGAAAATCGTTTCCCTATACTTTTTTTCCACTGCGACGATAATCCGAACAGAAAAGGCGAGCCCCGGCAGATGAAATGTGACTTGTATTGCACGCTAAAATAACGCATCGCTTTAATATAAAGGATTCTTTGACGGTCACAACAATCATGTGAAATGCTTGTGCTTGTTGCTAGACAATACCGGGTCATGCCACTCGTGTTTTCGTGAGGTGTCAGATGTAGCGTGCGTTGCACAATGCGAAGCCGTTCGTGCCGCACGCGCTGAGACTTTGCACTTAGCGAGATTCACACCTCGTGCCAAAATTCTCTGACAAATACACAAGGCCACGATTTTGATCACTTGCCCATTGACTTGGCAAAAAAAAAATATCACCCATTATTCACGTGATAAAACCAATAAGTAATACAAATGAAATTATCAGATGCCCTGCTTTTGCGGTATGGATTTATTTGTCCGAGTAATCGAGATATGAATAATACACAGCCGTCTGTCAATCAACTGCTGGATGAAGGCCTCTCTATGCCGTGTCAGTCAAAGGACCATACGTGACCATTCCGGTCAGTGTAGGTTCGTGAAATAGGGCCCCTGGACTGGTTCAGATGTGAGCCATGGCTGGAAATTGAACTGGGATTGTTGTGTTCATAGCACAGCGTGTTAACCACTGCGCCACCACTCCACCTCCATTCGTCGCAGCGTTAAAGCTTGGATCCTCTACAGGGCAAGGGTTATGTTTCAAAAGCGATTGCTATTTCCCAGAAATATTTTAAAAATGCGCTCCTAATAGTCATCACAGAACAGAACCAAAATCTAGAGTAACTCAAAATGTGAACCTCCATTTGAAATGATTCTCTCCGCAGTTACGCAAATACATAAATATCAATTAAGTCGCATATTCTTAAACATTTTATATAACTTTTCACTTGGAAAAGTATTCAATAAAAGTAATAAAATATCAATAAATGACTCTAGTTCATACATTAAAAACGTAATTTATTGGGTGTAATTTTCCATTTGGAGCTTGCGGCGGGAGGAATGTCTTTTTTTTAAAGATGCGTAAGATTTGCGAGCACATTGCGCGGTCAAAGTTATCAATTTTATCGTTGCCAAAGAGCAAAGCGGGATTCCTATTGACAAAGCACTCAGTCCTTGAATTACAATGCCTGTGATTACCATTCAGCGTGGAGCCAAAAAAAATAAGTTGCTGCAATTCTGATAGTGCCACAGTGCCCATCCCTCAGCCATCTGTGAGCACTGTTTACATCAAAGCACAAGGAGGTGGAAGGGAGAAAAAAAACCGGTGAATAATAGTGGGGTCCGTGATATGAATAGAACACATTGGACCATTATTAGCAGTAAACACGAGTATGCATCGTGCAATTGCCTTAAAAGGTACGCATTGTTAGCATACGTTTGCCGCACTTCCCCACTTACGCACAATCGCCGGAGAAACCTATTCCATTTGGCGTCCGTGTCTGACATCTCCTTTGCATTGCGTGCACGGGATTATTTTTTATTTATTTACGTGCTTCACATTTTTTTTTACCGACTGATTCATTGCGAGCGCATGAAATAGCCCACCGTGCTTTCCGCGATATATAGCAAAGACAAAGATCCTCCGTACAGGCTTTTTTTTCATATTTCTGAAGGCAAGTGCCATTTGCGAGCACCCTTGAAGGTCGACGCGGCACATGAATTGAAGGGTGGTGGGCACGTCAAACACCACGCTGCCCGGTTGCCTTTGTCTCCCCAGCGCTGACGATTGCACACCGCGCCAGGTACTCATTCAATGCAGTCACAGCCTACGGGAGGCTCAGAACAAGGGGTAAGTTCAGATATGCGCCCACTCATGTTGGCTGCGAGCAGGAATCAAACTCAGGTTGGCCACGTCTGTAACGCAGTGCGCTGATAACTGGGCTAACAGATTAACAGGCCCCCATTATTTTTTCTATTCCCTGCGTTTCTATTTTCTACTCGTTGATGCATTGCTGGCACATTCAATGGCCCACAGCACTGTGAGATGTATATACTGTAGACGCACGCATGCACATAGTGTATGAATAATGAGCTATAAATCTGGGTGTCGTTTCTCAGCTCCGCTTCAATCTGGGGAACACTTGACACACGAGTCAAAACACCGCAACACACAATTACCCACTGATGATGATGATGATGACACTCTCATTTTCTAATGCTAAGGATGGGTAATTAATGCCAATTAAAAGGCTATTTGAGATATGCCTCTCCGGATATGAAGACTGAATATTCTGTGCCGCATAAGGTTTGATAGCGGTAATCGTACAAAACAACCTTGCTTTGTTAATATTGTTTTGAGTTTCTTGTATATCAAATATATGCTCTACATGCGCTCATAATCAAATGTTTTATATCGGTAGTGGATTCTGTAATTTAATCAGCAGCATCATCATAAATACAATCATATGTAGCAAAGCACCTCTATAACTACAGGAGGGACATCAAGAATTGGTGACTTAGGCGATACGGATAACCCACCTCTATTTACGCAGAATTAAACTCGTTCGTTGTGCCGTGCACAAACTCATTGTGCCGTCGACATCTCTCGCTCGTAGAGAGACCTCTACTGGACAATACGAGTAAAAGATGCAATCCACTTGTGCCTAGCCTAACATGATGATCATCATCACAATAACGTGATAGCAGATTGTGACAGCGGGCATTTCCCGCTTTCTATCGTCGTTATTATCACACTCTACGAGAGGCGAATTACTCGGTTCACTGACGACGGCGACTCTATAGATGTGTTTAGCGTTCAGCACGAGACTCCAATAGTTCGGGCCACTAGGCAGCACCGGCCATGTGCAACAATCTCTTATCGCTCCATCTCCGCGGTGACTCACTGCCCGGACACGCGCTCTCCTTTTGGTCACCATGATGTCTCCAGGCTCGTCCATCAGCTATCGCCCCTTCGAGTCGTGATGTGCGCCAAACTATTATTCTTTCTCAAGAGAGAAATAAGTTCAACATACACAATACTGCTGACTTTCCTCGACAGCCAAGGTACAGGTTTCTGGTTTGTTCACGGAGGCAATGTGTTCGCTACTTTCGTTACCTCTCAGTGCAATAACTTTATCGCCTTTATTAAATTTTGCCGAGTTTTTTTGCCTTGAAAATTTTCAATTAATTCCCCTACTATCCACTACGTGCTCACAATATAAAGGCAAAAAAACGTACGTAATGGTGCATATAACAAGTGCAGTAATGTGCGACATCTGAATATAATCCAAACCCTAACCCTCAATACTGCAAATCTGAACTGAAGCTGACACCTTAACCTCAGAACTAAATTTGCACATTTCATTTTTTATTATTATTAATTTAGCACACAGCAGTACATTCAATCCCTCAGCATGTCACAAGCAATTTGCCACTTTAACCGTTAGCCTCTTAAAGTACAAGACAGTTAATAAAATGGATCCACTTACACAACAATGTGAGTGCACATTAAGTAATTATAGCACAGTGGATTGCACTCATTCAATAGGCCAAACTGTTACAATTCCAATTGAGAACTTACGAATGGATTTAAGCAAAACTACCCATGTGAACAAAGCCAAAGATACCCCCCCCCCCGTATAGCATGAATAGACGTTTGGGGCAAGTGCTGTTAGCGAGCACCTATAAAGGGCAATATGGCACACGAGAGGGTGGGTGGCCAACACCTCCCCCAGCCGACTTTGTCTCCCCAGTGGGGATGTTTACACGTCTCACCAGGTACTCATGTGAGGCTGAGTCGACCAAGGGGAGGCCCATGTACGGTTCAGATAATCGCCACTGGTGTTGGCCGTGAGTGGGGAATCGAACTTGGCTCACCGGGTTCAATCCATTGCTGCGCTTCCATCTCCTGGCCACATTTCAGCCCGAGCCTACAACAACTGGGAATTCCCACGCATTCCCCCATCCCAGTACGAAGCAAGCTCATCACCCTGCGCAGCTGCCAAGGTCTGATGAGGCTCAGCTTAAACATCGTGATTTAGTGATAACCATTTTTAAATGAAAACTTGTTTTATTTATGAAGCTGCATGTAAAAAGATATAGCTATGCTGCCGCCTATTCAACAGAACACTGGTTTGCTGTGGTGAAAAAGTTTCAGTGATCATGACAATTGCAAAAGATGACGAATATTAGTGGACACCCAGTTTGATAACGCTCGCCTTATACTTGAACTTGGAAGCATAGTGCAGTGAGGCTGCCTGCGCAAATATCTATACTCAGCTGGCCACGCACAAATGTCGCTCTCGTTGAAGAGGAAGGGATGGGTTCATTCCCTTCTTCCCAAGAGCAGCCGTTACATTTTAACAACAGGGAGACTTCAATTCATTGGCCACTCCAGACGAACAAAATTACAACTCTCGCATGCTTTATCCAGCAAGCAGTGGCCTGAAGGCACAAAACAGTTAATGAAACCGAAAAGCCACAATCCTACAGCTGTATAGCGGGTACAAAATGTTTTAATATAAAAATGTGTGGTTGGAATATTTTTTTTGCGAGTGCACCAGTACTAACCTGCTATAAATCCAATACAATGTCCTTGCTCACAAAGCAAAGCATTATGACGACAATTGGAATTCTGCCAAACCCCATAGCCTACTGTATTCGCAATTCCTCCTCCGTCTTTCTTATTCCCCCTTTCTTTAACCGTATTTATTTACCTTGGCTACGCGATCAGTGCAGCTTGAAATGATGCCCGTAAAATATTCCCCGTTTTTCTTGCAGGCCCGCGAGGAGAGGGGGGGCGAGGGGGGTCTGCAGACGACCTAATCCCGAAGCACCTGGGAGAGAGGGGAGAAGAAAAAAAATCCCACGGGTAAGAAGTGGTGGAGGAAAAATGAAGACGAAAAAATGCTACGGGCATTAATAAACGTGACGGGTATATGCGTCACATCACAGTAGGTGAATGCTTCATTTAGACCGAGGGTCAGCCAAATGGTAGAAAGCAACACCTGCCATCGTTCATAATATCTGTCAGAGAAACAATCACTCATGCGAGAGTTTGGTGAAATGTAATCCTTGAAGGCCCCCCCCCCCCCAACCGAAAAGGCTCTCGGTGCGCTGGCACAAAGCTTACGTTATCGCGGTCACACGAGATAAATTCACGTGCAGAGGTAAGACAAATGTCGTGGCGGGCTACGAGCACTGTACCTCGGTTTCCGCCTTCATTTCCGAACGTAGAGAGCCGCGAGTCACAGGCTAAGAGCACCGCACGTACCGCATGAATCGCACGTACCGCGTGAACCACACGTGCCGCGTGAACCGTGTGAACCATACTCTTTGGTTCTTTCGGTAAAGTCACGTAGGTAGAAAAATTAAAAATAATAATAAATTATAGCTACGTGACTTTACCGAAAGAGCCAAAGACTATGGATTCCTGCAGTCACGAAAGCCTCAAATCAAGATCGTATGCACCGTATGAACCACGGGAACTATATGTACCGCATGAAGCGTATGAACCATGCGAACAGCATGTGTCGTACACACCGTATGAACCCTGTAAGCCGTACGCACCGTACGTACGCAGCAGATACATCGGTGGTCGTGTCTAAGCAGCAGCACTGCCCGGTGTCGTGTGTCTGTGACACGTTGAGCGTAAACATAATCGACAGTAATCTTGATTTGAAGCTTTCGTGACTGCAGAAATCCATACTCTTTGGTTATTTCGGTAAAGTCACGTAGATAGAAAAATTTAATACATTTTTAAAAAGATATATTTTTAATTTTATTTTTCCACCTACGTGACTTTACCGAAAGAACCAAAGAGTATAATCGACAGCCTTTTTTGGTCAATTCCCCAAGTCACCGTCACATCTGGCGATCCTGCGGATTGATGACATCCCACCGGCCACCCGGCACACGAGCCGGTTTCACCGCTCCATCTCTCACGGTGGACGTTCCTCTCGGACGCGCGCCATTTCGTTGGCTGCGACTCGGTCAATAGTCTTCACCAGGTTGCAAGCAGACTCATTTTTAGTTGTTTCACTCGAACACTATTCTGACTCTCAAGACTCTAAAATCAAACTCTTCACTTACCCCGACTATTTTCTCTTGAGGGGTGGAACAATCCACCCCCCCCGACCCCCCATGAGAATCAATAATCTATTATGAGAATTTTTCTAAATTCTCATAATATCGGGATGCGGTTCGAATACGAAAAACAATCAATATTTGTATTATTTACATTGCGATGAATGATAGCGCCTCTAGCGGACACTCGGAAACACAAAAACCCATTCCACAACATACCTAAACATAGCGCCCGTGAAACAATCGACTACAAGCACTATCCAGGCTCAACCCAGCTTAGAATCCGAAATGTGTCGAGATTGGACACATTCCAGGTTCTATTCTATTCCTGCAGCACCATGGCAAAACGTTCGGGAGCTTCATGGCAATGTTGAAGTCTGCTAATCACGAGAGGGCTCCAGGAGCGAGTTCGTGTCGTCTGCCTATTCCTCCAACGGAGGAGCACAGACTGCAGTGGTTTACTGCATGGTTCTGTAACCATAATGTAAATGAATGGTTACATTCCAGGTGAACTTTGTCAAACGGACACAGAACATGTACACCATGTAAACGAACGTCGAAGCTTAGGCAATCGATATTCCGTCGATGAATCGATGCTACGCTGTGCCCCGATCCCTCCGCCACGGCCGCAGTCGCTCGCAACAAGCCAAGAAGATATGTTGCTGTGTCACCTCGATAATAATGTACGACAGATATATTTACGGATTAGTAAAGACAATACGGCATGTGTCACCTTGGCGTCGCGAGCGGGGTCGGTTACAGGTGGCGGATTTACGTGCAGGTGCGCTCGCCGCCCGCAGGATCACTCGAGTCCCGCGCCCGTGATGATCCGCGGCTAGCTTCTTCATGTGGCACGTGTCGGGGAAGAGGCACAGCGCTCGCCGTGGAGAGTCTCAAGTCGTTCTCGTTGCCACGCTCTCCGTTTGACGCCCTCCCGGCCCCACCGCTGCGTTCATAGAGTATCTTGGCCGCCGTAAATGTCCACGTGGGAAGCCACTTCTCGTTGGGCTATCGTTTGTGATGGTCGCTTCGAAAAAAAGAGCTATACAGCTCGGTGGGCCTTGCCTGGTAAAATATTTGAAAAAAATAGTTTCGTTTTGTGCTATTTGAACATATCACTGGGGGTTTCTGCGAATATTCTTTCGTTGTATTTATTCCCGTGGCCCGGTTGGATGTCATCGTTTATAAATGCGTTGATAAAAGGTGCAGCCCCCCAACTGTTTCACGGTGAGGTGTTTGAAGCAATGCTGAAAGTTTATTGAATTCCCCTCCCAGCTCTAAATGGGTAAAAATTGGCGTCAATTGAATGGCAGTTCGTGTGTGGTGGGGTAAAAAGTGAGGGTACCCCCACCTCTTCAAACAGCATATAAGAGTAGTGCCAAAATTTCCTCTCGAGGAGGCCCTTCAGCCAGCAGTGGAATGAGCGAGCCATTGCAGGGCTGTGCCTTTACCTTTTGTTTAACTTTACAAACATAAGCCATTCTTTAACCCACTTAAAAAAAAGGACGACAGACTACTTATCTCCCCTGGGGAATTTTGCGAACAAAAAATGTCAACGTTAAAACCGCAGACGTCCAGTTTTGTTCACACAAGACCTTACCCGGCTGTCTCGCCTAACAGCTGAATTGTAATTTGCAACCGAGTGCAAGCGTGTGTCTTTGTGTGTGTGTGTGTCGCTCACGGCCAACACCGGTGACGATCATCTGAACCGGTCCTAGGCCTCCCTCTAGGTCGCCTCAGCTTCAATTGGGTACCTAGTGCTATGTGTAAAAACACTGCCACTAGGGAGGCAAAGGCGGCCGGGCGTGGTGTTGGCCACCCACCACCTCATGTGCCGTGCTGGCCTTTATAGGTGCTACTAGCTAACAGCACTTGCCCCAACAGTCAGTTAAGGCTACACGGGGGATTTTGTTTGTTTGTTTGTGTCGACTCAGTTTGACTCAGCGTTATGAACTCAAGTTCTATTCCTGCTCATGGCCAACACCAGTGACAATTATCAGAACCAGTCCTGCATTTTAGAGACATCATATTGACCGCCAAGGGAAGTGTGCTCGGGCAAGACACATCGTGGTAAGACAAGATTGGTTGAGCAATGGACGGTACTGGTTGCGGAATGGCAGTCAAAGGAGAGAACACGCCCGAGTGGATGACCACCGTGGAGAGGCGGAATTAGATTCGCTAGTGTGAAGGAACAAAATGTATTTAGTCATGTTGAACTTCTTTCGCACCGCACTTAGCCAACAGTGCTAATCGGAAGTGCAGGGGAAGGGCAAGAATTGTGGGGTCACAATGTTGTGAGAGATGGCAACGGTGTGGAACGCCTTCATCCATCAGTGGATAGATCGTGGCTGATGATGATTGATATTCACTGCAGCATTACAAGCATGAGATATTGACAATCAACCCCCCACCCACCGCCACCACAGAACCGTCATAATGATCCCCACATTGCCCAGGGCTCACCGGATCAGTCTGAGTTTAAATGGGCAGCACAGAAATTTGACAAGACATTAAAATATTTACACGTGCAGTTTTTGGGGGGGTTTTTTTCACCAGGAAAACTCAATTATGTGGACGTTCACTCTGAACGTGACTACCGAGAGATGGGATCTTACGTTTTAATGCCATCTTCAATGCTTGTGCGGTGCTTTTCGTGTGTATATTATGGGGTATGAAATGCCACCAGGTGGAATATGTAGCTCTTCCATAGAAATGAAAATGTCACCGTACAACATATGGTCCGAGCGCTGAATACGAACAGCTTATTGGGAAGAAATATTGCGCGTGATGCACATATAAAAAAAACATTACGATTCCTCGTTGCGTTTTTTTTCATAGCAAATAGAGCTTGTGACAGAATGAAACAGCGCTACTGAATTAAATGCAATTGTAGCATATTGAAGAAAAAAAAGATGTAATTCAAAAAATGTAAACGGGTGGACCAGTCACGTACTTGTTAGTTTACTGTGCTTAGAAGTCACCTTTACTCCACTAGTTGTAGCCATTTACCCTGTAGGTTCTGTTTATTTCCTGCTTTCTATACACGGCGTGTTGAGATCTATGGATGAAATTCGCCTTACGATTGTAAATTATTATTATTGCGAACAACGTTAAGGGGAAAGCGATATTTGAGCAGATCCAAGGTCTCCCCTCACACATTTACCAACTCACAATGACCAGCGTGGTAAAGTATGATAAAAAAAAACACTGGTGACATGCCGTGGGGAAGCATTCATGGATTTCGCCACAGTGGCGAGATGTTAACTACCTCGCCTGGTATGCCGGAGGTCGTTGGTTCGACCCCGACTTTGAATCCCTGTATATTTGAAGTTTGCGTGTTCTCCCCGTGGTCGCATGGATTTTTCTCTGGGTCCTCTGGTTTTTCCCTACACATTTAGAAACATGCCTTGCGAGTATTTGGCTGCGATAAATTTCCACAAGATAAGCCACTTCACACTTCATTAAGCTATAATTTGTGGCCAGGTCGCTTCTGAAAAAGAGCTATATAGCTCACTGGGCCTTACCTGGTAAGATAAAAAGTGTAGTTTAGACAAAGCGGCTGTACGTTTTGAGTCTTACGCCATTTAATAGCGACAACAGGAAATCATAAACGTGAGACTGAAATTACATGTTCGTGAGCTTATTACGTACATGTAAACCACAACAAAAAAGGACAATCGATTTGTTGTTCCACGATGTTGTTTTGGGCGCTTTCAATTATGAAATACTTACATTGTAATAAGTGGATGAT